CCCCCCCCCCCCCCCCCTCGCTATGGGCCATACCTAAGCAAAAGCCTTGCCGAGGCAGCGAGGGGAAGAAGGAAGGAAGATTTGTAGCGGCAACCGGATCCCGAACGCTTTGCGGCGCGTCGAGTTCTTTTTTACATCCTTCTGCGCGTAATTACCAGGGTCGGCTACGTCCAACACATCGTCGGAAGGTCGATACGCTCGAACAGCTGATTAAAGTTTACAGTAACGACGCACAAAGTACGTATACGTGGAAGATTTTCCCTCGCTATTATCCAGCTCAACGGTTCGTCAAAAATGTCTGCTCTCAACCGTCGTGTGTGTTTGACCCCGTTAGCTTCTTGCCTCTCCCTACGTCAATGCCCGTGTTCCGCTGTCGTCTCGCTCGATTTTGCCTTGCAGCGAAGATGCATTATGGCTCATGAAATGGAATGACTGCACAAGGGCCTACGAGGATCAACAGGAAAAAGGAAATCTAAAAGAAATGGCCCATGTAAAACTACGACTACACGGAGAGGGTGGAGTACTGGCTTCATGGGGCAACGTGAGGGTTGACATTTCGTTGTGTGTTAACCCGTTAATTTTCCCGTAACTGTCACAGAAAAATCATATTTAGACGAATACATTGAGTCCCGAGCTATGTACGACGAACGCCATCATGAGTGGATCATTGCTTAGTGGAGTGCTGGTAGTCACACGTTGCCTGTATTCTGGAGGAGGCACTGGCATAGAAGCCCCGACGGCTTCTCCATATCAATGTGCGCGGTGTCGGCTACGAACAAGCGGGGTGTTGTGGGAGCGCGTGCGTGTAGTTGACGAGAGAGACAGACAGACAGACAAGACAGACAGACAGACGACAACAGATAGACAGTTTACTATGTCAGATGATGGGTTGAAACGCTCGGTAGGTTTCCGATTTTAGTTCACAGTTCCGCAAGCTGCTATCTTATCCCTGCTTTTTGCCAATGACTCAGAGTATCAAGCGGCTGTAGAGAATCTTGTTGGGTACTGAACGCCAGCGAAAGCAAGAGCAAGTGCCTAGCCCGGATGGCGAAGAAGGTTACCAAGAGAGTGGACGTCAAAGCAGGCCCATGAACGGACACCGGCAGAAACAGCATCAAGAGCAGCACCAGCAGCACCAGCAGCACCAGCAGTGAGAGCGACGTTAAAGGTGGCGGATGCAGACATGAGGCCTCCGACATATTCGACGCTACCGCTGCCTCGTCCTTGTCAGCCGCCACCACCTCAACGTCCATCAAGGAACCGAAAGGGGTCCGGGAGCCCAGCGTTTTCCCTGCTGCTGGCGCTCCAGCTTCGACTGGTGAGAGTCTCAATCAGACGGGCCAGATAACGTCCGATGATATGGTCACCCAGCCGGGCCAAACGAAGGCCGACGATAATGCCACTGGGGTGGACGGGAGGGTGGTGGGTTCGGAGGGGGCTCCAGGGGCGTCGGCAGAGGGCGGGATGTGCGGTCAGGTGGCCGCAGAGCATTCTGAGGAGATGAAGGATGGTGGCGAGGCGGAGGGCCTCTCGGAGGAGAATGCCGAGGTGGCGGTGGGGGGTGGTTCTAGTACAGGACCAGAGGCAGAGTTGTCGCGGAGCGTGGCGGAGTTGGAGGTTGAAGATGACGGTGAAAGCACTGTGGGGCTGAACAAGAAGAGGGTCACTGACTCCACGGCGCGTCGTCAAGCCGGAACGAGGTCCTCTCGCTCGGATGGCGCGAGCACTAGGCAAGAAGCATGGCACAACCTAAGATTTAAACAGTATCGGCTGAACCAATCTCAATATCGGAACATGCGGATGTTTACAAAGGTCCACACGTGTAGCTCTTGTTGCCCCCCGTCCGAATCGGGGGTCAGCCGTCCAGAGACGACAAATTTGACCCCTCTCCTACCTTGCCATAGAGTCGATGGTAGGAATTCCTCCCTGTTTGAAACCACTTCGATATAATCAATTCTAGAGGAAGTAGGTGGAGAGAATAAGCGCGTTGACTTCGCCAACCCCGACACATCGCTCACGCCCTCTCCTCCGACATGTGCCTCGGCCTTCTTGCACTTCGTGTCGATTCAATTAAAAACATTGCCGTGCAGGGGAAGCGATAGAGCACGCAGCTTAATAGCTCACCGAATCCTTCCCGCGCGCGCTCGCCAACCGAGCTCACGACCTGTGAACGGAGTCTTTGGGCCATCCACCGTCTGATTTTCAAGCCAAATACAGGTTCTCACGAACAACGAACCATTTGTCCTCTTGACCTTGTCTCATTCCCTCCCTTTGCCCGCCACCATGACGATTCGTCTGCTACAGTGTCGACCCCAACAGGTTGGCGGCCCTCACTATCGTCATCTGTGAGCGTTTCGTATCGACCAAATTATCTCCAATGCTTGTCATTGGAGCTGAACAAGGCGTGCCGACGCGTATCGACTTTTATCGTGACAGTCGGTGAAAGTTGCATGCCGCTGGATCGCCTGGCGCGCAACGAAGTACGAGTGCGCCCGGCTACGGCAGGAAACACGATGACTGCGCCAGGCGTCATGCCAACGGCAAGAGTATCACGAATCCGACCATGCAGTCTGTGGCGGTGCCTGGCCCTGGACGTGCTCGGACAGAGTGAAGTTGACTTCGCTTGCGTTCGTTACCTGGGAACCGTTCCGCCGATAGACTATTCGGAGCCTCCGTTGGATGGGGTTGAGTTGCCGGCGTCCCTTGAGCACCTGGAGATTGGGGAAATGCGTATGCCCGCAATCGCTCGAGTCAAATGGCCGGCGACCCTCAAGCACCTCCAAATCGGAAGCGTTTTCTCCTGGATTCCCGTCGGGATCGCCGAATTCTCGTGGCCGTCTTCTCTTCAGCGGGTCCAGTTGTTTCAGTTGTTCCTGCAACAACCCCCTTACAGGGGATGTGTTGCCGCCCTCGGCGCGTTTGTGATTGGTATTCTACAAGTCGATGGATGAATATGATTAGACCCATAGCGTCAGATGATGCGGATCGCGCAACGAATAGCAGCCGCCTGACAATTGAGAAAAAAACTTTCATTGAAGAAATACGGTTTTGGTCGGTGCATGCGAAACGACCGATACGTTTCTTTCCTTTCAACACTTGAACAAGCCACGCCATCTCGATCGGGGAACTGCACGCCGTGCAGGCAAAGTGGGTGGAATGCCGGAGTTCATCGCGCGATCGTGTTCGTTACCATATCGAAACGTTTGTTATGTTGTGGCCGAGATTGAACTGTGTGTTTACTTCTCTATTGTTTTCTGGATTTTTTTTCAATTGATTGCGAGCCCGTCTGCTGCATATGTAGCCAAAGAGCGAGAGATGCGGCCCACGAGGTAATTTTCTGTGAACCTGTTGAAGGAAAATACCGGTAAGTACACTGAACAATCGCGCTCAAGAGTAATCCAGGCGGGTTCGCAAGTGTAACATCCCTGTTGGTCAAGGGCATGTTATGATCGGGACCGAGGAGTTTGGCGATGGACGCCAGGCGGTGTTTTTCCCTCCTCTCCTTTGCTGTTGTTGCTGCGTTAGGCGGCAATGCTTCTCCACCACCGGTGGTCACACGCGCAGCAGCAGGCAGTGCTGCAGGCCTTATGACCTTGACCTTGCATGATGATAGCGGACACGTCCTTGAAGCAGCATTTGGGTAGGCGGAGCTCGCGGAAAGCATTTGTGTGAATGTGTGAACCCATCTGTTTTACCCTCCGCTGCGTTTTGTCATCTCAAGATCGTAAAGATCCAGATAGTCTAGATGCCGAACCTCAAAATAAATTGAAGCAGAGAGCCGCCAACGTTTGGGGGTCGGACGGTCGGGGGTCGGATGGCATTCGACCCCTACTGCTGTAAATGAAATATTATCGAAACAAATTTGTTGACCCCCGAAAAGTTGTGGCCCTCTGAGATGTACTGCTGTAGTAGTGTAATCTGACCCCTGAAACGCTGTGGACCTGTAGCTGTAGACATTTTTTTTTTTCACTGTTGTTTTGGGTTTTTGGAATAGTCTGCAGTCGGCAATCAAGCTTAAAACTACTTGTAGGAACGGCAGCGTGAGACAGAAGGGCACAACAAAAAGGTATAGGCTAAGTGCAATCGGTCAAACTAGCCTGCCTGTACATGGCAGGAGAAGATATACCTCGTCAGCGAGAGGCGTTCACCCGCCCACCAAAAGGCTAACAACAAATGTTGTGATGCTGGTTTTGCGGGATGTTGACCGCCCGGCAGTGCAAGCAGTAGGTTAAGCAGGTATACTACTGCTGTGTAGTCTAGACCTTGACAACACCAACACACGTTTTGAGTGTCTAAATCGCGACGAACATCTCGTCTACCATGTGCGCCTACAGATAAACTCATGGCGTGGTTTGACCAAGTTGTAAACGGTTCCGAGCAGTGCATACTGCTGTATAGCGATACGAGAGCGATACCTGTTGTAGACTGCTGCGCAGTTCGTCATTTGGCCCCAACGAAGCTTGTCGTTTTCGCTCCTTCCGGTTTGAACCGTCTCACAGCAATCGCTCGCCCAATCAGATCGAGACACCGCATGAAATTCACGGCACGTTCCGCCGCTTCTCTCGCCAGCCGTCCAGCCGTGCGGCCTCCCTCGCACGTACGCACCCCAGACCGAGACCATTACCCAGACAGTAACAACCCAAGAGAAGTAGGCGAGGAAGACAATTTGGGCGCGTCGAAATCCAGGACAAGCGGAATACCAGACGCTGTCGTGCTGTGCTTGCAGATTCTCGAGGGGTGAGGTAGGTGTGCATACGCATATGTTGCCGCGGCTGCAGATTTTTGGCGTTGTTGCGTCGGCCGAAGCAACGGATCTGCAGTAACCCCTGCAGAGAGATGACGCTAGTTACTTGTAGCTCGTGAGCCCTAGCGGTGTGGTTCGGAAAGAACAAGGCGGGAATACTGCGTTGGTGGCTGCCCTCAGGATGTGTGCACACTGCTGCTGCAGTGTTCTACGCGTGCATCATGACACAAGTGTCACGCACGCCCATGGTGTGCGATCGAAGTTGCACATTCGTGTTCTCAGGCCTGAACCAGCGCGCGGTACCCGATTGCCTCCGCGAGACTGCTGCCTGCTGGAGATCGTGTCGGCAGGCCACCACAATCTTCTCCTCACACCCAAAGCGTAGTGTTGCCTTGATCGCAGTTATCCTATTCAACCCTTTTATTCGACCTTTTAGCCAGGATGTGTACGCATGTCTCGCCTGCGAATTTGCGTCTACATTTGTGCTATGTACGACGCTGCCGCGAATTCGCGGCGAGTTTTGTGCGTTGGGCCTGCTTTTGAATCATATCCCCACATCCCCGTTCCTGCTCCTGCCGTTGACTCTCACGCATAGCTGGACAACATCATGGGTCTTCAAGTACAGCAGCAACGACAACAACAACAACACAGCTGGGACCAATTGAACTCTCCCTTGCGGGCAAAGAGCGTCAGCAACATGAAGCGTCACAGGTCGGCCCCAACCCCCAAGCAACGCACGCCGACCACGAGGACCGTTCCCGAACCAGTCCTCCTCCAACAGCCCAAGCAGCCGGCTACATCGCATGCGGCGGCACCCACGGCGCCAGTGGCCGCGGGTACCAGCACCTCTGGTTCCACTGCTGACGACGATGATGCCAGAGGCCCGCTTGGCTTTCCCGAGCCGAGCTTCTCGCCGGTCCTCAAGGTCGTCGACTGCGACAGCTTCACCCTAGTCTCACAAGCGACTGGGCGCCGCTGGAGGGCGATCGACTCCTCTAGGGAGTGCCAGTTCGGGGAGGTACTGCGTGCTGTAGAGCTGTCAGACGAAGCTGGGGCACGGCCGGGGTACTTCGCTATCAAGGTATGATGTACGTTCCAATGCAGCAAGCACCCTCTGAAAGTGCCCGTGTTGAAATATGACTGCTTGTCTGAGGCAATTGGTTTGAAGAGCAGTACACTGTAGTATCATAAGTCTAACTATTTGCCACGTGTGTAGCATAGTAGCCCGCAAGCCCTTGCGTGTGCTTTCCCTGGTAAATGAAGGGAGAATCCACTTGAGTCATGACTGACGCGTTCCTGCCACCCTTTTCAATCCACGCGCCGTCTGTGTCAAATTGCACGGGAATGTTTAGTATAGTATAGTATGTTTAGTAGAGTATGGAGAACCT